CTGGCTGTGGCAAGGACATTAGATAAGTGAAACATGAGGCACTTCTGGATGTCTTGGTGACACCTCAGAGATCCTCTATGCCCAGGTGATCTCCTGTCGCCAGCAGAGGCAGAAGAGACAGCCCACATATCCCAAGAGATGCTGCATGTGCAGGATGAAGCTGCTGTGTTGTCATTGCTCACAGGCAATGTAACTCCAGTGCTGTGCTCCCAGCTGCTCACCCACACCCGCTTCTGCTCCCAGCATTGAGGAGACCCTGAGGGACAGCCCTGGCCCCCAGCCTGCAGCTGGACATGGAGCCACTGCCCACAGCTGCCTGGCTGCATCCATCTGGCCAAATGCTCGTGCCCCCAGTAACCCACCCTCCACAGCCAGGGCTCTGCAGTGTGGGGCTCGGGCTGTGGTGTGGGACCGTGTCCAAAGACTCACAGGGCTCTGGGCACATCAGGGGCTACAAGTGCCCAAAGCTTGGGGCTGCTCCATGCCATTTCCAGTGGGTTTGGCTGTTGAAGGGGGGCTGGGATTTGCGTGGCACAAGCACGTTGTGTGAGGGCCCTTGGTGATACAGAACCTTGGGATGCCCAGAGACCCTTGTGACATGGCAGAGCCCCGCCCTACCAAAGAATTACAGGAGGAGAACCCTGGGGTGCCCAGTCCCAGTAGAGGAGATCTCTCAGGACAAAGCAGCTCCCGAGATCCCTCGCGACAGGGACGTGTGAGATGGAGGAGGACAAGGCCAACCCCATGGCCCAGCCACCCAGCCCCTTGCCCAGCTGGCTGGAAGACCAACAACTTTCTGACTGGGAAGAACACAGCGAGGTAGATCTGTATTCCCTCAGAGAAGCTGAAGGCTACGAAGAACCATCTGACTGGGAAGAATCTGTTGGCCAAGAGCTTTTTCAAGAGGAAGACTCTGTTGGCCAAGAGCTCTCCAGAGGGAGTGGTAACAGACCGTCCGTCCAGTCCAGCTGGGAAGATGGTAGTGACAACGAGCTCGCTTGGGACCATTGGGAACACGTGAATGTCCAGAGCGCTGGGGTCAAGCCCCTGCTGCAGGAGGAGGATGACTGGGACGAAGTGAGTGTCCTCGAGCTGTCTGAACAGGAGGACAGGGAGCTAGGAGGAGGCTTTGCAGAGGATGAGCTCCCAGTTTCTGTCCCTCGGCAGGCCTGGGTTGAGCGCCGGGCATTTGAGCGGTGTCCCTGGGTGCCGTTCTGGGCCAGGGCTCCCCACAGCGCAGTCCCTGCCCCACACGGCTGCTCCAGCCCCTCGGCTCCCCAGCTGCAAGCCAAGACTCCCCAGCTGCAAGCCAAGGCTCCCCACAAGAAGCATCTGCCCCGCATCAGACGGGCGCTGCGCAGCCTCTTCTGCTGCTGTTGGCCTTGCCTGGTGCCACAGCCCGAGGATTAGCGCCCGCTGCCAGCGCCGGCCCTGCAGAGAGTGGATGGCTCGGAGCCTGCCCAGCGTCCTGAGAGAGCCACACAGGCTGCCTGTGCCTGGAAATACAAGGAAAGAATTATAAAGAGAATAGGAAAATAAGAATAGGAATAGGTATAGGAATTAGAAGAATAAGAGTAAGAATAGGAATAGGAATAAGAAGAAATAGGATAAGTAAATAATAATAACATTAAGAAAAATAATAGACTATGACTAAGAAGATAAGGATGTAGAAAAATAGTAGTGGTTGTAGTAGAAGAATGACTAAGATGAAGAAGTAGTAGCAGTAAAAAACAATAATAAAAAGGATAATAAGAACATGATAAAATTGTAGTAGTAGTAGTAATGTCAAATTAAAAGACACATCCACACATCTTCCAGAATGACAGGATGAAGGGAAGGGCCTTAAAGGGCCTTAATTCCTACTGATTCTCTTCTGCGCTCTCCCTTTCTCTCTCTTTCTGTCTGAGGTCTCTTTCCAATTTCTTCCTATCTCTCTTAACTCCCCTTTCTTGTTAAATGAAATCCATGTTAAAAGAAATCTCTATGTTTTCCTCAGATGGTCTCATCTGCACCTTCATTTAGGTAGAGGCATCTGTCTCTAATGGGATGGTGACACTTGGGCAGGATCCCTTCCAGCCACAAGCATTCCATGATTCTGTCAGCTCCTCACTTCCTTTTTCTTCTTCCCACTGCTTTGAGCTGGGAATGTGCTAGAAAATGTCCAGCAAAGAGGCCTTTGCTGCCTGCTCTGGGGACCCACACAGCTTCAGGACCTTGTCACCT